ACAGGCCTTCGTGAAAGTGTTAACACTTGCTGCAAAGGAGTAACGTGATTTATTTTTTCTTTCCAAAGAAATCTTTCTTTTAAGCAAGTTGTCTTTGTGTGTTGGATTGATTACTGCAACATTACACCTTTTAACACATTTTGATTAAAGGCATTTGAGATACATCACTACTGACTCATCCATTTTTCATAAAAAACATACAGTATATTGAAAGCACACACTTAAATGCTCATGCTGATGTCATTAATATTCACAGTAAAATAAAAATCATTACAAGCCAACATTAAACTAGTGAACAAACAAGCACAATAAAATATGTTTGCATTTTTGCAAGTTGGACTGAAACAGAAAGAAACACCATCGGTAGGCTGCTTATGAGTTCAGTCATGGAATTCCCAATTCCAGGTGTTGATTTAAATCTCACTCAGTATGTTGAAGTATGCATTCTTACTGTAAAAACCTGCATTGCACACTGGTGCAATGCAGTCCTGACAGTTCGTTTAAAAGACAGTTTCTGAATTAGCCGTGTGCACATTTCTCCGTGGATTGAGTGTCTTGATAAGGCTCGAAGTCATCGTATAAGACGAGTTAAGAGATGAGGCTCAGTTAAGAGTAGTGAGTGAAGTCGATGGCAGTATAAAACGGGCAATAAAAGGTGTTTTGAGAAAGTGTGAGTCACCGCAACCACGAGACGTCCTTGAGCATGCAGCCATAACTGGCCAACATGAAATATAATGCAGCTTGCTGCAGCAGAATGCGAGATTAGCTGTGGACAGACACAGAGGTGCACACTCACTCACGGACGCACGCACACAAGATCGATCGCATGATCCCACTGGCAGAGATAATAATGTGAGTCTTGAAATATCAACAACAACATGAAGATGGCTGAATAAAGCTAGCTAGATTATGACCTTTTATGCAATGTTGGCACTCTTACTGAAACATGTGCTACTTTTGAATAGATGAACAGTGTTGGCTTTCCTCAAAGTTTGCTGTTAAACAATTAGCCACGTCACTTTATATTGCCGAGCCACCTTTGACCGCTGCCATGCCAGCCGAGCGTACACAGTGTTACCTGTAAACCAATTAGCTGGTGTTGGTGTTGCTGCAGTTTGCAGTGTCACCATCAGTGAACTCCACCCACGGCGTCACAGAGCAGTCTAGTGGGAGAAGGGCTTAATTGCTGTTTCTCTCCCTCTCTTGAATGGATCTCAGTGGACGGAGTAATAAATATACTTGTCTTTTTATCCCCTCTATAACCTAGTGAGTAGCAGTTGGATGCCTGTGTCAGATCTCTAATTAACAGTGGGCTGTGAAATCCAACAGTATATAGATTTTGGCCTTTCTTGCAATCTGTTATGATAACATTGGACACAGCAAAAACAATAACTGAGATCAGTGAGATAGAGAAAAGTTTGGGACAAAAAAACCAAGAGTCGGACTATCATAAAGAGTTTAAACAAAATTACAGCTGAGTTTTCCTCCCTTTTTTCAATGATATATTATAGTGTACATTAGAAAACGCAAAGACTTATATGCTGCCTTATTGCTATCATTTGTCTAACTTAAGTAGCTTAAATTAGAAGGTAGCGAACTGAACCTGCAGTCCGATCCAGTGAAGCATGGAGTACTGCCTGAGGGGCTAAGTGGTTGCATCCAACATATTTATTCCGTAACAATGTACCTTCCGGTCTCAGTGCACCTGCCAGCTTATTATGACTTGCGTCAGAGCTGAATTGTCTTGACGATGACGGATCAAATGTGGGGTGCAGAAAGACTCGCCATTGGTTCAGGACCCGAATGGGAGGATCGCTGTTGTCATTTTATGATCATAGCCTTCCAATTGTTGTCAAAGATTTGATCGGTGACCCACCAAGTTGTATCTTTTCGTCTGTGTTATCCTTTGCATCCTCCGCCCAGTGTCCCCTTTTCTGCACGTCATCATCTGTCATATTCGCGACTTGTTGAGTTGGTGATTCACTCCGATTCCCTTCCCACTCTCTTTTGCACACTTTTATTTCTTTTCATCATTCTGCCTTCGTCTTTCTTCCGTCTTTGTTCTCCCGGCTATTTTCTAACCTTATATTTTCTATCGCTGACAGTGTCGTCTCTGCAAAGCCTTTTGGATATTTCCTCCTTCTTCTCACACTGTGCTCATTTGCTAAGGATAAACGGGCACAGGCGGCAGAATGTGAAGTGTCTCGGAAGACAGACTGCTAATCAACCTGCACCTCCGTTTGTGCGTTGGTTCCCGGTATTTCTAATGTCTCCTATCGTTTATTTTTGTTATACCCAGCGACACATTCTGTGTTGCCATGCCTGCTTTTGTTTTCTCACAAGCTGCCACGTGGAGGCGAGCATCCAAGGTCAGATCGCAGTGCCCTCACTCATAAATAGCCTTTTTTTTTTTTTTTTTCTGCGTGTGTGAAAGTGTGCAGTGCTGACGCGTCAGCAAAAGTGGGCAGGGATGGATGGCTCTGCCTTGAGGGTAAGAGAGAGGGTGATAGAGAGGAGGAAAAGAGGTACAGGGGTACTCCCTTATGGGACTCATTTGATTGCTTTTTTTCACTGTGCTACACCCCCCCCCCTCTTTGTTTTCTTCTTCTGCTCACCATACTTCTGTCTATCAGCCATATGTTTTGAGGCTCACATGAGGATGTTTGTTGTTACTGCTTTACACACTTTCTCCAGTAGTTCAGCCTGTGTGTTTTAATATTTACTAATTTAGTATGGGAGACTATTTGGCAAACATTGCCTCACTTTATATGGAATTTGATTGCATATCTAAAGGTCCTGGTTGAGAAATTGTTTCACACCTCAGAGTTTTGGACCAAAGCACTGCTGAGTTTCAAATTCTGTTTAACTACATTGACCATGCAGCAGGTCATGTGATGTTGGAGTGAACTAAAGGTGTTGCGTATCCCTGAGGAGGTCAAGGATAGCTGTGAAGAAGCTTTCAACCAAGAGTCTATAGCCATGCTAGCATTTCTGTGAGGCTGTACTTAGGCACAGTGTTGCTTTTATCTAAATGCTAATGCCATCATGCTCATGACATTGCTAACGTACTAATGTTTTTATATGTAACACCTTTCTATCAAGGAGATGCCCCGATATTTGACTGGATAAGTAACACCTTCTGGTGGTGCTACAGAAAACATCAGGGAGACGCCAAAGTCAATGGGATTTATCCTAGTTTGGCAATATTACAATCTGGAGATGAACTGAACCACCAACATTGCCGCCAACATGGTTGTTGGATACATAGTTTGAGAATAAACTAATAGAATAATAACTAAAAAAAATACATCCCAGGAGGGACCTTGCTGCACTGTGTCAAATCTCTTGGAGGGGAATGGATTCTCAATAGGCTTAGTCATGGTGAGACCTATTTAATTCTACTCCGAGCCGAACCGTTTACTCTGCAGTCAAAAAAGATGCTTCTGTTATTTTTTCCCTTGCCCGTATACCTGGCGGATGGGGGAAGGGCCATCCCTGTTGAAACATACAGTAGACATGAAAGAATAACTACCTTCAGTATATGAAAGTCTCCAAAATTAGCATTTATTACAATCGCCAAACTATTGCAAGAGCAGAATAAGTTGCCAGCCATTCTCTTACCTCTCCCACTATCCCCCTTTCTCTCATGTCCATCATTGTCTTTTCTTTCATCTTGCTTTTCTCTCGTACAGCTTTTGATCCCCCCCTGCACTTCCCAGCCCACACCCACTTACGCTGGAGCCATTTTTCCACTCGGCACTTTCTCATTCTCTTGTGGTTGTCTGGACATCCTCTGCTCTTTGATAACAGTCAGTGTGATGGTTCAAATGTCCAGGACAAAAAGCCGTTTCACCATCAAGGCTTTTAATCAGTTTGTTACTGGAGCTAGTGAGTGTGCCTCTACTCTCCAGCCCTATCTCCAGCAAGTACATTAGTGATGGTCTACTCTCTACTAATTGCTAACTCCTTTAGACTCGGTTTTACCTTTAGAAGAGCTGTGGGTTGCAGGGTAACTGGTAGCTCCTTGTGTTCCAGTATGTATGGTATCTTCACCATAGTCTGCCTGCCTGCTGAGTAAGTTTTGTTTTTCGTAGAGCCTGACTGACAATATTGCTTTTGAAAAATGGCCTCAAAAGTACAGTTAACTGTTTTATTGATGCCTTTGGCCAACTGGGTCAATGGAAACACAACATTGACAAACTGTCAGCTTATGAAGTGGTTTGCCTATTTAAACACTCATTCTTTTGGATTTGTTGTTTCTGTTTACCTGGCAACTGTAAATCCAATATTCACTTCATCTCGGTTTTGATCTCCCGCAACTCCTACGGAAAACATCTGGTTCTTTAGCCACTAAATGCTCCACTATGTTCACTAGCTAGACGCTGACTTTGTCTCTCTGCTGCTAAATACTGAGCAATTAGCATGAAGTAGGTTTACTAAAGCTTTTTCGCCCCCCAAAGAACAGAGGTTTTGATAAAAAACAAGAACCTTAAAGTTGCAGGCAGTAACTTAGTGTTTTGGTCCACTGTTAATATAAAAATATATCATGGAGCAGCTTTAGTATAATTCTATAGCATTTTCAACATTAATTGCTTGTATCTGGTTAAAGAATTATCAAATGTTCCCAGTTTGATATTTTGAAAATACAAAATGAACCTGTGTACTTTGTAATGGCGACATTGTTTCTGAATGACCTCAAACGTCGTTGGTATTTCTGTTGTGCAATTTCTTGGTACTTTGGTACTAACCTATACGCCCATAACAATAATTATGGGTCGGCCTTACAAATAAACCAAATAAATAACAATAATAATAAAAAACTTAAAATCTGCCAATCATTTTGGCAATGCTTTTATATATATATATATATATGTTTAGTTTTTCGTCAAAGCCAGCATAGAAGGGAAAGAAATTTAGTTGGAAAAGTATAACCATCATAAACTAAACTTGCGTGCCAGTTTATTAAATGTGGATGTTACGTTTTCTTTTCCCCTCTGCAGGTATACCTATACCCTGTGCCCATTCAACCAAGTCACACAAAAGAGCACCGCAGGAACAGAGGTCTCATTGGGGTAAGTACCTCAGTCAACTCTTTAGTCTCCATAGATAAAATCCAAAACAATGACCAGCGCCCGTATCTGGTCCTTATATATTACAAATGCAATACCTAATACAAGGGACACTTTATCCAAAGAGGTTAACAACATTGTGAGTGCATTGTGTGCTGTGGCATTTAGAGTCTATAGCAGAACACATTCACGCAGTTCAGGCTTTTTTTCAAAACCAGCTTTAGGAATCCGACATTTGTTGTCCTTGGTCTTTAAACACACAATATACTAATTAGATAAATTCACATGACAGCATTTTTTCATTTAATAAATGGACCTGAAATAAATCCCACTGCACTCCTTTAATCATTGTTGCAGTGCTCATGCGAAGTTACCATAAGACCAATATTTGCGCTATTGATTTTTTAGAATTGTTATTCAATCTCTGTTAGGCTTCATGTGACCTTTAATCAATCGCTAACAGATCTCTATTATAGTTTTAATACCTTTTGATCAATGACAAACAGCGGGCAGGTTTCATACACTGCAGGGGTTTTATCTCCTCAGCCTCGAAGGGTTTCAATTTCATCTAAAGGATTATACTCTGGCCCTTTACCTTCCCCTTGGGATTGGCTGTGTTGAATGCTCGACATTGGTGTGTATCAAAATGCCTACGTGCTATGAAAGATGCGACTCTTGGATATGTCACAAAATGTGCTTTTTTATTTTTTATTCTTCCATACCCAATATTGTAAGTGAAGTTGCTCTAAACAATCAGCAGAAACACGACCTAGTATATAGTATAGCTTTCTTGGGATCTTGATCATTTAGCATCAAACTGATTTTTAGATAAGTTTTTCTCTTCTTTAAATGTTAGATTTGAGGCGATAATTATGGGATGTCACCTCGCTGTCCTTTTCCACTCTCTCATTAGCCTTAACCGTCAATGATCCGACACTTTTATGGGGTGCAATTACAGAAACCATTCCATCAACATTGAAACCTCTGTGCAACAAAAGCTTTTATGAATCGCTGCAACTCCTCCCCAAAGATTAGGACTCGATTGCAATGCTGTTTTGGTCAGTGGTGTATAAAGTACCCAAAAGCCATACTTGAGTAAAAGTAAAGATACCTTACTGGAAAATGACTCCAGTAAAAGTGAAAGTCACCTATTATAATACTACTTGAGTAAAAGTCTTAAAGTATCTGATATTTATTGTACTTAAGTATCAAAAGTAATGTTCTGATATTAAATGTACTTAAGTATTGAAAGTAAAAGTACAAGTAAATGCTGTTAATAAAAAAGCAAAGGGTCAGAATTTTGAGAATTATGAAGTTTATTCGTTTAAGTGCTGTGGCACCATGACCAAGGACATGGAGCTGTGTTGACAATAATTGGGTTGGCTGTGATCCATCCAGGAGCAACAATGTTCAACATAATATATTGTACATAAGTATACTTTTGCATCTACTATGAACTTATCATCGTAATTCTCCGAAAAGCAATATGACACTATGAAGGAGTTGTAACAGTGTGTTTATAAGTATGCTCATTCCGACTAGAGGATGTAGAGGGCAAATGCATCATATTGTGTTCAGCAAAGAATATCCACTTGATGCATCAGGTCAGTGTTGTGAGAAAGGACACCTGCCTTGTAAACTCCTATGGGCCTGATTTGAACACAATAGGCAAAGGTTTTGCTCATCTGAATCTGCTACCATCATAACTCCATCTGATCATCCACAAAATGACTCAAATATCAAAACATGATCGATACTAAAGCAGCACCGAAAGTAACAACCCAGTCATTACTTGAAAAGACAATTCTAATACAATGTAGCTTCTTTACATTCTAATAGAATGTACAGAAGCTACATTGTATAGAATGATTCTATTGAAGTTATTCCTTTTTCAAATGTTTTAGACGAGTCACTAATCACTTTAAAAGAGTGATTATAGCTGATGTAACTTACAGACATGAGATTGATCTTCTCATGTCACTCTCTTTATACAATGATATAAATTCATCCCCGTTTTATTGATATCTTACGAAAAGTTACTCCTCATTTTTCGTGCGTTTTTCCTGCAAAAGTCCAGCAACATGAGTCTGTTTTCGCTTGTTACATGCATACTGTCTTTCCAAAATAAACTTCCATCTTCACAGGAAACAACTAAGGTTTAGGCGATGAAACTACTTAGTTAGGTTGAGGAAAAGATCGTGGTTTGCGTTAAAATATCTACGGAAGTGGCGTTGCTTAAGTACGGAAGTCACGTCACAAATGAATCAACATTGGCTTCTCGTTTCACGCACGGCACAAACTGCGGCCTCCTGGAGGAAACACCAGTGTTTGTTTGACCCATCCACCTCTCCTCATCCCACCCGTCCTGTGTGGAATTCTACTCGTGTTGTCGCTCGCTAGCTATAGCATATAGCATCCTGGGCATCACTGGGAATCTAAACACCGCGGCTTTGAGAGCACTTGTTTTGCGCATTAACGTGATTAACCAATGATTTAACTGATTCACCAAACCTGCTTGCTTGCAGTCTCTGTTCCACCACAGTCCCCGACGCTGGTCTCATGATTCATTTTGTTTCTAAAGATAGATTTGATTTTGTAGCGAGTAACGAAGGTTTCAGGGGAAATGTATCGGAGTAAAAGTATCAGTTTTCTTTGCAAGATGTAGTGAAGTAAAAGTCAACAGAAATATAAATAGTGAAGTAAAGTACAGATATCCAAAAAAACGACATAAGTATAGTAACGAAGTATTTCTACTTCGTTACTATACACCACTGGTTTTGGTTCTAGCGGGTCTGTTGCAAACAGACAATGTTGAGGCTTAAATGACCACAGAAATGTGGGACGTGTCAAACCATTTGTTCTTTGTACTTGTCTTCTTTTAGCAGTTGAAGTGAGACCTTAAAGATAATTAATTAGCAATTATCCCTTTCTGCACATGTAGTTTTGCTTTCAAATGGCAAATTAAGTGGAATCTAAAGCAGAGCTGTGTATTATTTTTATTTTTTTGCACCGCCACCTCCCACACTACCCACTCACTTGTGGAGCGGAAAGTGCAATGCTTCACCATGTTATTAGCGCAGGAAAGAGGAAGAACAGAATGCTAACTATGAGTAATGTGACCCCAGCTCTTCTGCCTGCCTGTCACTCATGATGGTATGGAAGGGCAGAAGGACCAAACGGAACCAGTGGTCAAACATATCTCCGACTCATGTGAATTGGTCACTCTGTTTGGAACGATATCGCTGCCAAACAGAGCCTCAGGGAATGATTTCAAGTATGTAAACTGTATATGTTTTCCAAATGAAATGTTTTAGATAGGACTGATTAGACAGGACAGAATGAAATGGCCATGTTCCTTTCCTTAGAGAGGCTTGAATGGTGTTAGATTTTTTCCTTTACCTCAACACGATAATGGAAGAGTAATGCTGGTTTACGTTTGATCACATGCAGACAAAAACACCTCCTTGGTATTTCCTGGGTGTAGGCCAGTGGTGCAGCACTATATGATGTACTACACTGTTTCCAGAGAGGGTGTCGTGAAGGTATATGTGGAATGGTTTTAGGGGGAGGGGGAGGTACATGAATCATAGCTTGCACGCTGGGAATAAAGTTCATTTTTTATCCAGACAAACCATCAGTCAAGACCTCGCAGGATATGGCTGGGCCTCCTGATATCAATCTGCATGGAGGCATCTTCCTCCTCCCCAGAGGGGGTGAGGGGGGGCACTTTGATTTAAACGGCAGCATTTATCACACCTGCTCCAGCATTCTAACAGACGGTCATGGGAGAGGGGAAGGAGAAATGGAATTAACACGTGTGGCCTGTCAATGACGGTGTGGAGCTGCGGCGATGACATTGCTAACGCTCGCTTCTACCAATCGGGCTAGTTTGGATTCGTTATGCGACGTTTCTGCAGTGTTATTGGGTGGTGGTTGCTGCTGAATATTGATTAAGACTCATAGCGAGCGCTCAGTTTGTGAAGTGTCAACGCTCATAAAAGTTGAAGTTGTTCCCTTTATCCCTAACCTTCCTTCATGCTTGGTTTTGCAGCATAGCCGGCGTTAGACCATTAACTTTACAAATGTTCTTAAGAAACAATAAATCAGCCTGGGAACACTTCCCTTTTGTAACTGCTTGCTCTTATAATACGGCCACACACACAGCCATAAAGATTTCATAAGGCACAGCAGTCATACTGCATGCTCCCAATTATCTGTGAATGTAGATATTATACAACTCGTATTCACTTCCTGAATTGCAATGTCTCAGTTTTCCATTTGGCTTTTCTGCCTTTTGCTCTCAGCAGCTCAACCGCTTCCCGAAATGGCTATCGTAACAATAACATCAGCCACGATAATGATAATAGAGTAGAAGAAAATGCTTGCATTGCGACAAACACCATCCCACTGTGACAGCGTCGTCCATCTTCATAATGTCCCCGCTAACCCCCTCCCTTCCCCAGGCAGACACGGCGGGTACAATGACGAGACGGCAAACAAAAGGTTTACTAAATGCACGCCACCTGAAAAGACAAATATATATACACAACGCATGGTGTGCTCTGTTTACCGTCTTGCGTTTGTTTGAGCTTGTTTAACATAGCATTGACTTAACTCTTTGTTGGGGGGAAGAAACAACACGCATATGCTGTACATGGAAAGAAAACATTGATCTCCCTTCACTGGCCTGTCGCATTCATTTCCCACAAGCCTCCGTTGTATTGATGTTTCTCTGCAACATCACCATTAGAGTGTGTGTGCTAATAGTGATGGTAAATAATGATGTGTTGAAGCTCATAATGTTTGTTGTCTGTCACAGGTTTCGATTCAACTTGGTCGTCATTTCTGAGGCCTCAGGTTGATGTGTGTTCTGGATGTGGTTGGTGAGGGTCTTCTTGTTGAAGATTTGTTGTTGTCTAGCTGCTTTGCACGTATGCATGTTGCTTTGAAGAAAACTAAAACACTATTGCGTCGTCTAAATTGATAACGAGCACATGCTAACT